AAAAAAGTTTTATTCGTCACCGCTGGGGGACAGCTGCCCCCCCCTTCTTTTTTCAAACTCCTTTGTGACGCGATCACCTAACAGTTTCTTTTTTTACAGGATACGTTTGCAATAAATAATTATTATTAATTTTTTTTTCTTAATATTTTTTTAATAGGGTAAAAAATAAAAGGTAAAAATAAACATTAGTAGAGCGCCTGGGGGCCCCACGGGGCTGTTTATCTTGTGTTTAAAAGACACCTTTTGTGACGCAACCTCGATATATAAATTAAAATTATAAATTGTAACAAAAGAACAACAAAAACACATATCATTACAAGCTAATAAATCACTATATAACATCAACATACAAACGATAAATAAATATATAAACGTAACAACCTCCTCCGAGTCCAGTCTTCTTAAACAGTAATACGGTAGAGACGTGACATCGAAACACGTAAGGTGTTATTGTCGAACTTAAGAGACTTATTACAGACTATCACTTGTCCTTCACTGATGGGAAGGTTGGGTCCGTGACGCAGAGGTGTCCACCTGTCTCCCCTCAGCCGTCTGCAGAACGACTCCTCGGACCGTCCTCGTACTACCATCTCCTTCCTGACCTGGACAGACTTGCGGTGTCTGTGCGTCGCAGTCATAGGTTCTAGTATAAGTTAGTGCATGTCGGTTCCAAATTAAATATGTCGTCGGAAGGTTAGTTTCCCGAAGTGTTTTTACTTTCGTAATTCTCCGAATTCCTTGTATAATATTTTGCCGTAAATCTTTGTCGAGTAATTTTCGGTTTCTATTATTTTGTAACTTATTGTTTCCCTGTACTTAATTTCCCCTGGGATAATACGCGATACAAAACCGTATCGCTATTCCGACAGAGTCTATATATGTTTATATATTTGTTGTACAGTTAGAACTTCACAAACCCGATTTTTTGTGTTTAAAGATGCCCGTACGGAGGTAAAGGAGATTAAGTGAAGGACAAAGGTTCTTTTTGGTTTCAACCGACTAACCCCATATTTCGAATCTTTTTTTTTTTTTAACTATATTTTTCCCTCCCCACGACTCAAGAGTACGCCCTGGGCCGTCGATGACAGTTTGATTTATGACGCACTACTTTTTGCGGTATATGTACCTAATAGTCTCCTCGCAGACACTTTGCATACCTCGAGTTTTCCGAAGGAGAACGGCCAAATATGGTGTTCCACTCAAGGAAAAATGAGACGAAGAAGTGTGTGTACGAGAGGTCCAGTCCAATCGAAAAAAAGTCTCCAATCGCTACGATTACATTTGTGGCTGTAATAATTAGTAGTTTTGTCAGCCCAGTAACAACGACTATCGTTCAAATGAACTACCCGTGCACCCAGGGTGTAAAGTATATGAATCCAGCAGTAGTAGCCTGCGTTTAGACCAGTCGAAGGCACAACGGGGGCAAAAATCTCTAAACCCATGCTTCCTTTCTCCCTACCAAATAAAGACTGCGACGCACTCAAGCGGACTGTGTGGCCCCTGTATAGAATACATGATTTTCGTAGTTCTTTCCCGAAAACGTACTATCCAGGGAAATTTCAACGTCACCGTAAAATTCTACACTTCATCAAGTTAATTTTCGTCGCCGTTTTTCTTTTCAGAAGTCGGACCTAAATTTTCATCTAGTATTCAGTCCTTGACTAGACACCATACCCTCGTAACCTAAAAAAATTACAGTATACAATCGTTGTCTTAATGACAAGGGGGAGAAAGTGAAACTTACACATCCCCCTTATTATAAATATTATAATATTTTTTGTTGTTGTTATGAGATCCATTTGTGGCGGACGATATTTAATTTTGGCGACCCGCCACAAATAAATCAATGTATGGGAAACACTGTAAACGTTATCTTTTGAGGACGTTGAGCTCCTGGGACCTGAAGTGTAGTTTTAATATCTGCTGTGTTTGTCCTCAGTGCCGATGCTGGTGCTGGGGGGGCTGACCTGCGTCTTCTCCTGCGTCTTCGTCCTGTTCTTCAACACGAGGTACCGCCGGCTGGAGGCCGAGGAGCAGGCCACGTACAGGACCAACACCATAAACTCCTCGACCCCCGAGAGCACTCCCAGTGAGGGGAAGGAAACTGCTGACTGTTGACCACAGACTGACAGACAGAGGGCATTATGGGAGTTATACCTGGTACCAAACAGAGAGAAGCTTTTTTGAATCGAAACATTCCTTCACCCATAAACTATTTTTTATGACGTTGATGCCAAACTGACATTCATCCTGTTGCTACTACCATTTTCAGAAAATTGTAAACTGATTTTATTGATATATTTTATGCTTTTTTTTTTACAGAAAAATTTTATTTGTAGGGAATTTGAAATCTTGGGGTATAGTTCTCTGAATGAAGGACGTATCTCATCATGTCTTTAATACATTTGATTGCAGTAATACGAGACAAACGACGACAAACCAAAAATATAATGCGGTTTGATTCAGACTCTGAAAAAGCGCACATCTTCAGTTTTTTTTTACAGACGTTCCCACAGTGCCACAGACTTCACTCCAGTGATTCCTTCCAGCAGTCATGGGAAACAGAGGAAGTCTTGTAGCTGCATCACATGATCCTCATCCACTTTCTGCCGCTGTGCAGAGAAACTGGATTCATCTGACTCTCAGGGACTTCCTGATGTTTACTGCTGAGGATTCAGACCACTTTATCATTCTCCACCTGGAGCTGCTGGAAACACCTCCATGTATCACCTCACCGTGTCTCATCCTGTTGTACTGTAACACAGTCTGAATATCATGTTTTAAAGGTCCCCTATCATACGGTTTTTCATCAATATATTACAGGTCTCCGATATATTCAGAACATGTCTCTGAAGTGTTTGGCTCCAAAAACCAAACAGATCATTGCAGCATCCCATAATCCCCCTCTGTTTCAGGGTGCTAGTGACTTATCCGACCGGCCCACCTCGGTACCGCAAGTAAATACCGCTAGTAAATTGTCGACGGGGGGGTGCTAGTGACTTATCCGACCGGCCCACTTCAGTACCGGCCCATCGGGATTCGTCCCGATGGCCAGTCCGCCACTGCTCTCAGCTGAATGAGGCTCTCTTCTCTCATTTACAAATACAGCTGCAAGCTTTTAGACTTCTCTCCGACAGAAACGGGAGATGACGTACATTTTTATACCAGAATATGTTTGTTTTAAATCTGATGTTTACGAGGTGCTTGGTTGTTGCAACAGTCCCTCTAAATATCCAAAACGTTACAATCAAATGCTTAAAGGGGACCTATCATGCAAAATGCACTTTTGTACGTCTTTTATACATAAATATGTGTCCCCTGGTGTTCCAGGGAACTCACCAAGTGTCAGAAAACACAACCCTCTCTCTTTTCCTCCGTACCCAAATCTCTTAAAAAGGGGCTGCAACGGATCTGATACAGACTGATCCAGATTTGAACACTTCTATGTCGTCAAAGAAGTTGCGCTACGGCTATTGGGCAAACTCCACCAATCAGGAGGAGACAGCCACGGACATTGCCGTTCGAAAGCGCTGGAGACGCTGTAGTACATATTTCAGGCCACCAGATGGTGCTGTTCTCACTGAATCCGAGCTCTTTCGGGTTTGGGACGGAAAATGATGGATTCACCAACCAAGTACATGGGGGGAATGTAACTCCGGTAAAGAGGCGGCGACACGAGGGAGGCCTTGTCGTCGGCTTAAACGATACAGGTCAGGACGGAAATGCGTCCGGAACTATCTGTCTAGTTTTCTCAAATGCAGTATTACTGGGATGAGAACCACAAGGACCCTATTGGGAGTCTTCCGTCCGGCTAATGATTCGTTGCCGAGAAGTGACCTAACACCTTGCGGAGGGGAACCGAAGAGGTGTCGTAGGACGTCCGTGGATAGCCCACACGCACGAGTAAGCTGAGCACCAGACTCGATGAGGACCCGAAAACAGTCCACAAAGGTAGGTTCTTAAACCGTCGTCGGCTCGACCAGGAGCGGCGAGTGAAAACAGGCGAAATAGTCTAATCTGCAGAGACAGGGTCACACCGGGTACGTAACGACCAGGAACGACTCAATCTCGAGATTGACAATTCAAGACCAACCAGAACCATGAAAGCCCGCCGTCTATTCGAGCAGACCGTTATGCTCCGA